TCACTTAATTTCTTTTATGAATGTTTAAAAAAAGAAATAAGCTGTGAACCTAATGGATAATTTTTATTAAGTACATCTTAATTACGACTTAGACGTTTTGATCAATGATCCGTAGTGATCGAATCGGTTGTTACTAGTTAATAAGCTCTTTATAACTGATATAGAAACATTTAGTGCAAATAAACTTGAATATATGACTGTGAATAGCAATACAGTCCAGAAGACTCTAACAACAAACGATACTATTTTATAGTAAATAAATACACTAGCCAGCGATCTGATGGATAACGTACAGGAGTTCCATCATATAGTTACAAGTACGTTGATCTTGTAAGTCACAGATAGTTTCGAAAGTAATTTTCAGATTTCAGTAGTAACTATTAACAGTCACATATTTAAAACAATATTTCTTCCTTGAGTGCCAAGATGTTCGGTACGGGGTCGACAACGAACGTATTTAAAATGAATTTATGTTTATACGATTGTTAAGAGATGATGGAGTAGATTTGTTGCTTTGGTAGACGATTTAGTTTGGGTTTTGTTCTACGAGCTGGATGGTCTGATCGCTCAGTTTTTATTGTTCCATTGAACAACATCTGATCAGATCATAGGGAGGTGCGGTGAAAATAAAGTTCTTATATATAATTCACTATTCATAAGTCTTAAGATGTTAGTTATTCATACTAACAAGATAATATCAGATACATTCGAAATTATTTTCTTTTTAACTTTCAGTCGGTATATATATTAGTTTCTTGAGAACATCTACAATGTAATAAGTGAGTAAATTTTCTATCTATGAGATAATTATTAAGTTATTAAGGTTAGTCTAAAACTTTAATTTGTTTTGACTAATAAGAAACTGATAAGGGTTGTTTATGGAGATCTGTAATATAAACGTATTGTCTAGGAATGGATAAAACTAAATCAAAATAATAACATATGTTTTTCTAATCTTAGACTCATACTATCCTAATGTCATGTTATTTTCAGTATTATTATCACTTGTTATAGAATGTATAAAACTTGTAATTGTTTTAATATAATTGTCCATTTCCCTTCTTTATGAATTAAATTAACTTAAAATCTGTCATATGAACTGAAAGAAATTTTATGCGGTATTATGTTTGTACTGCATGTATTATGTCGATTTAGCCTTTGTTATGGACCGGCAGGCTATGTTGTATCCACGGTTTTACTACTTGTAGTTGGAATTCTGAAACCACCACAACCCAAACGACATGTAGTGAAAATATAGAGACCAATACGAATGAAGATTTATTGACTCTCTGAAACACGACCCTAAAACAAATCATACAAAATCATCGTTTTTAAATATACTACAGTTATTGATGATTATTTAATAAACATCGTGTGCATGACTGTGAAACACATATTCAGATTACACAGAATAATATTAAAAATATGATTGTCACATTGAATGAACTTTCTACTTATTACATTAAATGAAATTTTTACTTTTATCCATGCAAAACACACTGACCTGAAGTAATGATATACTGGGAAATATCTAAATTGTACTGACTAAAGTGTTACACTGGAAATACTACTGATATCATAAAGTGTTACACCAAAAAAATGTGAACTCACCCTCACATCGCTGTTTATTATGTAATAACAATGGAAGGTCTGTTCAACATACTGATGAATTTCAGGAAAATTGAATAAGAATATGTATTAATTCTCACTGTATTTATAGATGCCAGAAATGTTTAAAGTTTTATACTTTATGCAGTTGACTAAAATTAACAATACAAAAGTAACACTCAAATATTAAACATTAAATATACTGGGTGCATGATACTGAATTACTTGTTACGTTTCATTTAAGGGAAGAAACAAGTAGAAATGTGAACAGAAATTCCGTTTAGTTAAGAGAGTTTCTTATATCTCTGTTACTGTTATTTCGTTAGCAAGAAATGGAACGCCGTAGGGAAATAAAATTATTTTCTCAAAGGAATATGGAATCAAAAACTGAAGACATTTGAATTATCAGCTGAGTTTATGTTAAAAAAAAGAATTATCTTAACCAGAGTTACTACCGTATAATCGTGATAAGTCTTGTGTCTTGTGATTATCTACCCGAGCTGTATTGCTTAGAGCAATCATTCCCTGAGATGTTACCATGTTAGCCGAGTCAAACGAGAGTAATAAAGTTGAAAGCAGAAAGTTAGAAGTCAAATTGAAAGGTCACATTCTCAGATGTACAAGCATCTATTGGAAAATGAATAAATGTCTAGCCAAGACCCGGAACTTTTGAAATTCCTGTCAGCTTATATTTAGTGGCAATACAGTCAGTTGGGAGGCTTAATACTAAGATAAGGTTATAAACATGATGCTATCTAATAATTAACTTCATGAGTCAATTAAAGCTAGACCACCATGGAAAACCTTGAAGCACTGGACGACTATTTCGTTCTAGCATGGGACTTCTCAGCAGTGCGTATCTTTCAAACAAATCACTCTAGTCTTTCACGAACCTTAGAGTTTGAAAACAAGAGATTTCAAACGGTTGAATGATATCATGTAAACTTCTAAAAGCACACATTGTACTCAAAAGTACTTCCAAAACAGGTCCTCATAATGCTTCTTCATAAATATGTACTTTTTAAAATTAATAATGTAATCGATAGTAGCAGAAAAAATTTTAATTGGAAAAATGTTTTATAAAGTGAGAATTATCCGATAGTGTAAAAGTGACTTATCAATGATGTAATTTGAGAATTATTGAAAATAACATGACAAATTTGTGTTAGACCAACTATAAAATTTGAATTAGATTAGTAATAGATTACGTATTAATTGATAGGGGAGTCGAATGTTTTGATAATGTTGTCGTATTAATGGATTATTTATAGAGCAAGGAATTAAAGAAGGTGAAATCAGTTGTCATATTATGTGGTAAAAATTAATGTATACATGAAAGAAATAGAGGTATGTGGCTAGAAAGACAATACTATTGATACTGAATGGCTTCTTAGTGTAATTTTAAACCTATGACCTTTTAGAAACTAGAAAATATCAAATGTCACCTTTCATGTCATTACATTTATTATGGATTTTAGTTCACTTAAGATACTTAACATGGAGAATATATTTTCTAAGTCGTAACTCAAAGATTTAATTACCATATGGATTGACAAATAATGGCCTATTCCCCTTTTAATGTATTTAAATGTTCTCGACAATTTTAGATTCCCATTTGTTAACATGGTCATGTAAATTTATTTCAATCTTTTAGTTTGAAATAAAATGAGATAAACTGTAGTTTGATTAAAAACGTTTTTTCTTAAAGAATTTAAAAACCTTGAAAGATTTCATCCTCAACAACTCACAAAATAATGGAACTGCGGAATGTTCGTTATATAAACAGATTAGATACACTATATGGAATTCCGAATGTTCATTTTGTTGTAAGTCGAATAAAAAAAATCTACTTTATTTAATAAAAGTTATAGAAATGATAATTAAGTAGCAAAGAAACAGTTGAGATGACCTATAAAATAGAACACGTGAAATGAGATCGCTGGTTTGTAGATTGTGCTATGGAACCTAACTTCTATTCTGACCTAAGACTTTTAAGATATAAATGACCGTAAAAGTTTTAATGATTACTATCTACGTATAGAAAATATTTTAATCAATAAAACTAACCCTACAAAAAATGAAACGATAGTGTGGATATTTTAATAATTGAGATAGTAGGATACGTCTACTCTGCACACCGATAGTAAGAGTTTATCTATATTTTACTAAATACACTATACTGAGTAAAGTGATAATAATGATAATTATCATTTTATATTTTTGAGTCTATTTTTGACTAGAGTCGTCGTCGTATTTTGGCGCTAATAAACTTTTGCTGATACCAGCTTTTGTGTTCTTACTTTCGCGTTGTGGGAATTGCAGAGGTCCCTTGTTTCGAGTATAAGTCATTAGCGTTCCCGATGCGACAATCAGCGATGACCAGACATAACATGTAACATTCAATCGACAAGACATTACAACTTTCACTTGCTAGCCTATATGACAGATAAACATTATGTTTCCTTTTAGTTGTTTTCTAATTGTGATTTTTAATGTGATGATGATTATTGTTAAATTTGTGCTAAGGCGCCAATGAGCGATGATAGTTTACGCTTTTGATTGATCGGAGTGAGGGACTCTCAGCTTAACGTTCGACCTTTGATTGTATATTCAACTCAAAGAGCCAGAAGGAATAGCTGATTTGTTCGCAATCAGAAAATCGGAGACAGACAAAACAGTTTGTATAAATCAACAGAAGTGACAAATGGAATTTTAATAATGAATCACAATATAGTCTTAGGATATTTTACGGCCTTTTACTTATGCCGAGTATATGAATTATTTTATTGATAGTCGTTTGATGATTATGTGATTGATCTAGATATACTAACAGGCTTCACCTTTTCAACAATTATATATTGTAATCAGGGAGGGGTTTCGTGGATGTTATAGTAATTTATAATGATTGAATTAACGAGTTCGAATCCCGCGAGGTGAGATCGTGGATGCGCACTGTTGAGGAGTCCCATACAAGAACGAAATGACTGTCCAGTGCCTCCAGGTTTTTTATAGTGTTCTAGCTTTAATTGGCTCATGAATTTAACTATTAAAAATATATATTGACTGAGAGGTTTTTTGGTCTAACAGTTATCTTCTTTATTCGTGTTTATTACTATAGGTGAATGTTTATTTTAATGTCTAAATTGCTTATATTTACAGGATTGGCTTTACATCCTTTTTGAAAGCAATAATATTTAAATTCTAAATTTGAGCATGATCACAATCAATCTGAATTTACATTCTTAAATTGACATTCACACCACTTCATTTATTGTACAGATTGATATACATAAACTTCGAAAGTTTAACTTATTAAAATTACCCCATTCCAACTACTAAAATAGAATGTTATATATGAAGCCGTCTATAGAGTATACATGTAGTGCATTTACGAAGATTGTGCGATGATACAAAAAAAATAATCAGACCAATTAGGATTGAGGCGAATGAACTTCTAAAGGAATAACGTTTCTAATTTGTTTAATATACTATTATTTGATTGGTTATTTAATAATACAACTACAGAAATCTACAAAAGATGAAATGAATGAGGTATGAAAATTTAATTGAAAATATTATCACAATAACTTTGAACTAAATGGAACTGATGTATAAGTGTACGATTTATGTATTTTTAAAAATTTAATTATGGAATATAAAATCAGTAATATATCTGTATGGGAACGTTATAATGACAGTGATCTATTATTATTTAAAACATTTGCACCACATTTAACCATAGTAGAAAGAGCAAATTTTCCATTATGGGCTATACTTGGTTTTCCTGGAAGTATATTCAGTATTATTGTATGGAGTAGTCGTCCAATGAGACGTGGTGGTAGTGCTGCTGCTGCAGTTTATCAAGCTAGTCTTGGCGTTGTGGATTTATGTTTTTTTATTATACATTTGAATTGGTATTTACATGTGGCATGGCAACTCGGTGTACTTGATCATCCGGTAATTTGTGAAACATTCCCTGTTATAAATTATTTAATACAATATCTAAGTCCTACATTGGCATTTACATTCACATTAGAAAGATATTTAGCAATATGTCATCCATTCCGTTCACAAAGAAGTGTAATGCGTTCCACAGTGAAAAGTGCTTTTAAATTTATTGCAATCATGTTTGCATTTTGTTTGATTACAGCTAGTGTTCAAGCATTTGTATATGCTTATAATAATGGTGTATGTACTACTAGACCATCAGTTGAAGATCCTAATTCTATTGGATTTAGTTTATATACAAATTGGACTTTTATCACAGAATCGTTATATTTTTTCTGTTTACCAATTACTTGTCTTGTATTAAATATATTAGTCATTGGAGTATTACGACAAAGTATTAAATCAAAACGAAATACTTTAATTGCAACAACAGTCAATGGTAATTCAAATATAAACTGTGATCGTAATCAAATTTCACAACCGATAAGTAAAGGAGCACGTTCAAGTACATTGACATTATTATGTACATCATTTTATCTTATTATTGCACATCTATCTGTAGCAATAGCCGTAGTAATTCATAAACGTTTACCAACTGGTAATGAATATTTAAGTGATGAACAAATACGTAATGATCCTGGTTGGACAACTTATTTTCGTTTCTTTACAGTACGTGTATTAATTGAATGTTTTGCAATGACACATTATGCTGCGAAATTTCCAATTTATTTAGCAACAAGTAAACAATTTCGTTATGAATTTTGTAGAATATTTCAATGTTTTTGCAGAAATCAATCTTATTTATTACGAGATACTGATGCAGATATTGATCAAAATACACATTTACAAAATGGTAAACGTTCAACTTTCATATGTAACAGTAAACCTTCATTAAACACTGTATGTAAAACAAGTTTTACACAAAAGAAATTAAGAAATTCTTCTGTATCATTCACTTCTACAAATCAAAAGTTATCACCTACAAAAATTCGAAGACGTCCATCACCTGGTCTAAGTCGTACTGTATTAGGTGTAGATGGACAACGTGTAAAAGTTAAATCAAGTATTTCTATAAGTGTTTAATAAATTCAAGAATTAAACCAAATATTATTATCTACATCAAATGAACAACACCTTCACTCCCACCCCCCTCGCGAAAAACTTAACAAATATGGCTACTTTTAATTATTCATTTCAGTTACGACGGTGTATTTTTTTTATATACGCTATACAAAACATATAATGTATGAATGAAAATTTATTATTTTTATAAACAATGTAAAATGTCATAAACATTATCTCTTTAATATGAACAATTTTATTAATCGATAAACAAATATTTGTTTATTTATTTGTTTGTTTTTTTTCTATAGAAACTAATAATCTATGCATTCGACATCCAGAAAAAAAGTGTGTTCAGTGACCGCTTAGATACTATACTATACTGTTCATTCAAAACATTATCACTATTATTATTCATATGAATGACAATAAAAATTTATCATATTTTATTTTATTTCATTTCAAGTTTAATAAAGAATAATTATGATAGAATATTCTATTTGGGAATTTATTGATAGTGAAATATGATGTAATGAATTCATATTTTAATGTTAATAAATAGAAAATGCATAAATGAGTCATAGTAATAATACATTTTCTTACTATTAATATTACATTGTAAGTATTTAAGTTTTAGTGATTATTTTCAAATTTATAATGTGATATCTTTTTTTAAAATTAAAAGCCATAGATACTTTATAAAAGGTTTAGTAACTATGACGATTATCTTTCTTAATTTGAAATTATCTAAGGCCTTAAGTCACTGTTAAAAACTGATTAGCCTAAAATAGTTAATTTACAGTATTCTTCATTTAATGTTAATTTATGATGTCATATTTAATTAGTATCTATAATTATACATCTATCTTGAATAATAGAATTGCAAGAATATTGAAATTAAAAGTCTTAATTATTAGTAATCATGAGTAGAATATCAATCAATGATGTAAGATAATGGGCATACTATATGTAATATATTACGCACTGCTAAGGATTCCCATACTAGGATGAAATGGCCGTCCACTGTTTCCAGGTTTTTCATGGTTATCTAGCTTCAATTGATTCGTGATTTCAAACCAAGAGTGTTTATTACTTATAAAGTCAAAACTTCCATGGAACAAAAATAAAATATGTTTCAACTGAAAATAAGTTAACTTTCTTCAAGTGTATTCAATAGCAAGTTAGAAAATTATGTAGTTATTAATCAGTTTCTCACAAATCATTAAAATATATTAGAAAGTAAGTGAAAAAATACAACAACAACAACAACAGCAACAACAAAACCAGTTAGATTACAATCTTGAAAGAGGTACAATTCTTTGTGTTAATGTGAACCGAATTAATTAGATTTATGAATATCCATGAAAATTATTAAGTTAATCATTACATATTATCTTTGTTGATAATTAGAAAAAACTTTTTTTCATAATGTGATCTTAATTATGACTTGATATTACCCATATAACTATTTAATTTTGTAAGCAATGATGTATAGTGACTAGCAGTGGAATCCAGGATGCGCGTTTCGTTCTATTTGCGACTCGTCAGCTGGATATACCTGCATCTCAGAGTTGATGTTCACTCTAGGACTCGAACCCAGTACCATTCGCTGAAAACGCTATCACGATATCCACTTAGCTACTGAGTCCTGATAGTCACTTACTTGTGCAATGGAGTGAATTTAAACAGATTGATCAATTGCAATAGAAAGATACAAGCCAAATAATACCAAGTGAATTTAATTATTTAATTGTTTATATTATAATTAATATAACTATCTATTATTCAATATTAGGAAACATTAATAATTTGTAAAATCACCCGTGAAGATTAATTATATATTTACTTATTTATTAGAATTATATATATTATATTACTGAAATACATTTTAATATAAATCTTAATTACATACAATTATGCATTCATTTTGTTTAGTTATATCATAATATGAAATATATAATGATAATAATAATTTATATGAAAATATAAGAATCATATAGATATTAAATAAGGCAATCATAATAATCTCTCAATCAATAATATCAAGGTAGGTTAAATGATCGTTTGGTTATTTTATTTCATTTTAGTTAGGTAATTCTAAACATAATTATTAGTTCAATTCTATTTTATAATTGATTCTTAGTTTGGTGGTGGTGGCGGGTGGGGGTTAGCAACATTGTAAACTTATTTTATTGTAACTGGGGGTCTTTACTTAATGTGATAAGTATTCAATAGTTGAAATACTACGTTTTTATTTTACGTTTTTGCATCACTTATTTATTATTATCATTGAATGACTACTATATTATTCAATGTTAGGACTAATTTCATATACCATAGCTTAGATTTAAAAACTCACCTTGAAGGTAGTCACTAATGAATTTTCAAAAATGACATTGAATATTATAGTTATATGGATAGTCAATTGGAACAATAGTAGAAACATCAAGTTACATAAAGCAACTACATCTTACTGGATTCTAGCCTTGAAAACTCGTGCTGTTTGTGTAAAGTGTAGTAATTTTTTTTTAAATTAATGAAGTATTAAGGATTCAATTTCTATTCATATTATGATATGTTCAAATAAATATACTTTTAGTAATATTGATAGTTTGTTTATTCTAATTTCAACTAGATTAAGCTGATTACTTAGACTACCTTCAAAGTAGACTTAAGTTTTATATATAGTTTAATTAAAACTATAGAAAAGAATTAGATTTAAATATTATTATCTTACTGTTTGCTTTGTTGTGATAATCGTTTCTAGCAAGTATTAAGTTTTTCCTTTTCCAAGTATAATGTTTAATGGCTTAATTTCTATAGAATTGTTGATATTTTCTCAGTTGATGAACATTTCTGAGTACCATAATGATCATATTATAAATTTTAAGTAGCTATAGTCTTATGTAGATATTAATTTCAAAAATTGCATTGTATATAGCATGATATATGCTTCAAACAAGTGAATTGATAAAATTATATTAACTAAACTGAGAATAGCTCAAATAAACCTCATTTCATAGCGGTATAAGCAATTGAAGGTTTGTTAATATTCTAGATTATATATGTTCATTTGATAGTCAAATTAAAAATAGTTCTCTAAATAATGAATCTTTATATGCATTTTAAAGGCATACCGTAAAAAATAAGTTTGATCAATGTTAAATAGCTATCTCAGTTTAATCCACTTGGTCACATTTTAGTGGTCTGCGATTTGACTGTGATTGGAATATAAATTCTGATTATTCTCCTATATATTTATTGACTTATTTAATATCGTTATTCATTAACTCGATTTCAAGTCGGTGATTATATACGTGAATTGGCGTTATGTATATTTTAAGAGCAATCAGAAACGATCAAATTGGAGTTAGATATAGGGCCACTAAAACTTTCATAAGGGTTAAAATAAAGAAGATTTATGACTTTACAGTATTTATCTTAAATTCATAGAGATAATTTTATTATGTAGATGCTGTTATTTTTAATCACAGATTAACTTAACGGTTTATCGCCGTTTGGATTATCTCAATTTTAGGCTCTTAAAAGTACTCATAATGATATTGGCCAATATTTGTTTTTATTCCAGGAGCCCAGTTCCCCTCGATAAAACACATGTATAACATCATATGCTTGTATCATAAACGCTTTGCCTCAATAACTGTTATATAATGCAGAATTATGGTACGATAAAAACGATATCTATTCGAATGTCATTTACATCGAAACAGAGTATAAAATTTGTCTTTGATGCATTTACACTTTATTGGTCCAAATATATTCATAGTTGAATCGAGTTTAAAACATGAAGCATGAGGAGTGAGTATATTTCATGCTTCATTTCGAATATTATTTTATAGGACATCAATCCCATAACTGGTGATCATTTAAAATTACAATAGCCATGACATCAAAGTAGTGTACATGAAGAACGTTCTGTTGAGTAAATTTAGTTATTTTATTATTTACATAGTTCCTTATCCGTGTTTAAATAAGTCCATTCAGTCAAAATGAAATCTAGAGATCAAAGTTAATTCTAAATAATTTTCATAGTCAAACATCCCACAGGAGTGATCATAAATACTAAATTTTATAATGAAAAATCTGTACGACAATCATTGCGAGTAGTACAAACTTATAAAGGCAATTGTTGCATTAGGCTCAGAAGCTACCTGTCTCCTCAACAGTTCAGTAATCTGACGTTTGAAAAGTAAATAATTAAAGTCTTGAGTTATAATTATGTATGTGATTGACAGTACAACAAAAATGAAGCTTTAAAACGTCCTGGAAAATCCCACAGGTCAGTTGTATATAGAGCATTTCACGGCAACGTTCATTGAGGAACAGCATGGATAATGTACGTTCTTTCACTTTAAGTATATGATAGATTCAGAGTATTTAGTTTCAGTCTCTTCGCTTTAATTCACTTAAACGCTTCAAGAGGTATTTCCTGGTGTTTTAGTGAGAAGCCGTGACCAGTGGAGTTCAACCGTGTCTGTTGTCAGGCAGTAATTGACTTATGATGATGGTTGACGGTGGCGCAATTTCGTGGATCGGTTGAAGTTAGACATTAACACCATTGGATGCCGGCTCTGTGATCTAGAGGTTAAGCGATAGGTCCTGCGTTCGAATCCTGCGAGCAGAATCGTGGATGCGTATCACTGAGGTGCTCCATATCAGGTTTTCCATAGTTGCTTAGCTTCAATTAACTCATGAATTCAACTATTAAACTACTAGAATCTCCACTAAACCTCCTTCTGAAAAAAAAACAATTATTTAATTCTCTCCCTTCTTACCGTCCATCTAGTTTTACCATACTTATAATACATTTTTTAGTTTTTATACTTCATTTTAATTGATTATCATCAAAAAGCTTGTCTACACAAGTTTCTTGATTTTGATTTATATACGATTTATTCTGTTCTTTTAAGCTAATGTTAGTCGCACATATTTGTAAATTTTGTAAAATTCCTGCACATAACTATTTTCACTTGGAAATACTCAGTCAATTTTGTAATTTAAAAAAATGTCACATTAGTATTCTAACAAGAATATAATTGTTTTCAGGTTTACATCAAAAACCTGGAAGCACTGAACAATCTTTTTGTGTCGGTATGTGGCTTCCTATATTCTGTGACTGTTGTTCAGGAAATCAAACCCTGAACCTTCTGCCTCACACTCGAAAACAAGTTATGGATCGCTGAGCCTCCATCTTCAATTAATTCACGATATTTAGTGACTATCTTCCATTGGCTGCAGTAGGTTATCATACTACACCCATCATCATTGAGTTCCACTGATCACGACTTAATTATTCACTCAACTCAACTTTACGCTCATAAATATACATATATTGAGAGCTGGACAGAAATTTACATAAACTCAACAGGAGGGTTTTTTTGTTTAACTGATTGTTTAAGGATAGTAAATTGTTTAGTTTAAATCATAGTATAAATTCATTTGGTGTTACTTTACTTTTATCTTCCGATTGTTATTTAGAACTGCAATTGATCGATTTCTTTTTGGAATCTATGCATCCTGTGCAGATTATCTCGATATAATGTTAAGTTACAAGCTTCTAAGCAAAAGTAAATAGTGGCCATCATTGCTTAAATCATAGTTATTTTTTAATGAATAAACAATATTCTAATGTTACTAGTCAATAAATTAATAGAATAAACTAACTATAAAACAGATTCGTAATATTGTTAATCTTTCAGTTGCAACATTCCCCTTTATATTTTATTCCATTAAACTAATTTATTACATTTTCTTTTAACTCATTTATTCATTGTTCCTTTCCTCATTAACCTTTCCTAATATTTATTATCGTAAATTCTATTAATGTAGTATACATTGTGTATATTCATTCATTAAAGTTTATTATTACTATAAATTCATAAATAGATAAGAATGGAATATAGAATTGACATTTGTCTTGAATTTGTGTTTAAAAATTGAATAAAGATTTTGAAGAAAGAAAACAAAATCTCCGCCATTAGATCCATAGTAATTTTGTAACTATGCATTAATTAGAATTATTATTATTATTATTATCAATCATACCGTTCTGAATAGTTTAATCAAAGAAATAAATAATTACTTCTAAATTATGATTCAAATTATTTGGATTTAATTATTGAAATTAAAGTTGGTATCAAATAATAAGCGGTGATGGTTTCAAAGGAAGAATAACTATTAAATCGGAGATTTTACTTTGATCATAAAATCTAGGATCACTTGACTTACAATCAGTCATAGATAATTGTAAATTAACTTTGTTTATATGAGTGTATATATATATATAATTATGGATGATTAGAGATATTTTCTAATTTTATTCAGTTACCAGTTGTCAAGACTGCAAGAATTATGCTGCTTTCCAACTGATATAATTCAATGTAAAGAGAGAGTAGAAATAGATTGATAGGTGGAAATTTATTTATTTTAAAGCGGCTTTAAAAATATATTATCTTAGTATGCTTATATTTAAAGATCTTATTTACATTGAATAAAAGTCAGGTCCCGTAGCACGTGTTGTCATAAGATTTAAACCATATCTATGCATTTAAAAAGAAACTTTCTTTTTTGTTTTGAATTGCCTCATCACCTTGTTTTACAGTGGCTGGTTGCATGATGTCCGATTTCACGCTTTCTATTATCAATCCGTTTACTTTATTTATCTATCCTCTCTGAGCCTTACTCACTTTACTCTTTTAATCTATGAATTTTCAGAGTAACTGTTGACTTCAATGTTCTTTTCCGAGAAACTTGTGTTTCGAAATTTTTCCGCTAGAATTTTTGTATTGAATAACACAAATGTTCAAACGGTTCGTAGTGTTTTTTCATGGTAATCATCTGATTTTTCTAATCTTGATTGATAAGAACGTCTCTGGTAATATGATGCAAATTTGTATACTGCATATGAAAAATTACCAATATTGTTTCTCGGTTACGATCACCTGAAGAAAATTATTGAAATGAATGAATTCATGTTATCCGAATAGGAATTATGTCCATCATTCATTTAAAATTTTTTTCAGAAAACTTGATATTGGTCAATCAATAACTTATTATATGAAAATAATTTACAAGTATCTTGGGATTTTAAAAAACTATAACTAACAATATTACTTACTTATGCCTGTTATCCCTCGTGGAAGAGCATAGGCTGCCCATCTGCTTTCTCCAACTAACAATATACTGTTAAATAAATGAGTTTTAAGTCTGCTTCTTCTTAATACACAGCTAAACATGAATTCTACAGCAATTAAAATAATAATAAATAGGATCGTCTCGATTATTATATTAATTTTTATCAGATGTTTGCACTGGATACCTGTTACACATACCTGGTTTTTACATATCACTTTTTAGTATTCTTAACATTAGATTTAACTACAAAACGTAAATGGTAACAGAGGAATAAATTTAATTCTTAGATATATTTTTCACTTGTCCAAGTGGCATATTTACAGATTCTTTCTCATATCAACTTCTTAAGGTAGTTGAAGCCGATGTACAAAACCAGTGTATGTATATCAATACTTTAAATTTCATGTATATGTAACTCTAGAGCTGCCAATCGCTTTAAGCATATTTCATGAAAGGTTAGTATAACGACTCTAACTTAATGTTTAACTGAGTGTTTCTTACTTGTTGGACTAACCGGATATTTGGTGATTTTAGTCTATAAAAATAAATTGTTGGTCCCTCTCTATATGTGCATACAATTCAGTCACAAATGTTAGAAACTTCTGTATCCAAGATTTACTCATGATTTTTGTACTGAAATAACGAGCCGATGTTTCTTAGCATTTTTAAAACAATTAGACGGACACAAAGAAATTATGTTTCATTGGTTTTTACAGTCAGTATACATCCGATTAGGTGACAGTCATAAAAAGTAGTTATAATCAGTTTTGTAGAAACTAGGTAATTAAAACTAGACAGTATATTTATGTTAGGTTAAATGAAAAGTGATATGTTGCGTAAAGATAATAAGACTATAAAAGAAAGGAAAGATTTGTGAGCACTTTTTGACTGACTAGACAATGTTATTATATGGATGATTGATAACAACCAAAAAACTAACACGGAAACTTTCCAACTAAACTTTTAGTCTGATTAATTGTTAAAGATGCACAGGAAATGTAAAGACTGGCTTACCGTATTACAATAAATTAGTTAATTATGTTGGAAATTAATTTACGGTTGAATAAATTATTAATGAAGAAAATTACCATATGAAGAATCAAAGTAAGTGCTACTTTGTTAATAAGAGAATTATGAGTTATAGACTAAATTACTAGCCTCAGAATATAACAGATTGCAATAAATCTTGTGTATGTTGCGTGCACGCTTCGTAGCTAGCATGTTATCATCGAATCACTGAATTGACTCCCAACTGTCAATATCTCGAGATTCAGACTATTGCTGACATCCAGTAATCGTTATCTATTATCTACTGATGAGTTCCATACTTGGACAAAATGACTGTCTAGTGTCCCTTAGCTTTTGAAGCTTTCCTATGATAAAACAACTGTTTTGTTTTTGTTTTCTGTAAATTGATGAAGTAAAAGATGAAACTAAGATCGGAAAACAGCTAAATGATGTCTTATTTTTCTGAAGTATCATTAATTAATACCTGAAACGAACATAAAATATGAAAATGTTCCTAAAATACCAAAATCAAATCGTTGGTTACTCATTGCATTGTGCAACAATACGAATATTTAATACGCATCAGTAATAAGTAATAAAAAGTCTTCAGAAACTTTATTTATAGACAACTGATCGTTTTATCGTAGAGAATTTTACTTAAAATAGCACACTAATAATTAACTTAAAGATCGTTAATGATCACTATTTCGGTATTGTTTACAAATTGTGACATGTTTTATCGATATAACAAGAGCTTCTGTCAATATTTCCTATTTATATGATACTGAATACTCCATTACTCTTCATTAATTTGTGTTCTGAGTATGATTTTCAGGTCATGCGTTAAAACGGATCACCAACTATAATAATTGTTGATAACAGCCAATGAAGTGGTAAGTAAAATTACAAATAACCAAGTAAGACGAGTTTCCTTCATGTTAACTGTATAAATCATAATGTTGACCAACCTTAGCTATGATTTAAGTGATTGAAAACAATCACTGAGTGTTTTTATTAAAAATTCTAAAAACATCAAAACAATCCCATCTTAAAAAAGTTGATTCATGCTAAAATATGATCCACTTATTAAACGATACTTTAATTCAATTTTTTTTGGTAAAAAGTTCAAATTATTATATCAAAATTTGTTAGTTCATTCAAATTGAACAACACAAAGAATATAAGAACTCTATTCAATTGCAACCTGTCTATGCTTTATCGCTTAAAGTAGTTCATTATTTTCTGCCTAAATAGTTTAATAGAATATCTTTTTTGTTTAATTTAAGTTACCTTGGTTAAAACACTTCCCTCGTATTTAGTGATACACATTTCTGACAAATCCTGCGATCGGGATAGTGGATGTGCACTGCTTAGGGGCCCCGCAACAGAACGAAACGGCCGTCCAGTGGTTCCAGGTTTTCAATGATGGTCTAACATCAATCGGTTCATGGTGTCAATCAAAACTTAACAATCTCCACAACCCCTAAACTGATAATTACCATATGCTCACTAGTGACTAGCTTCGTGAGGAAATTCTAGGAGTTCTGGTGAGAAGCCGTGACCAGTGGAGCTAATCCGTGTCGGTGAGACAGGTATCAACCTCAGTACAACGGAAGATGGTCGTGCAATTTCGTGGATTGGTTGATGTTAGAAACTAACACCACTGGGTGCCGGCTCAGTGGCCCAGTAGGTCAAGTGTTCGCGCGCAAAACCGAAGGCCCTGGGTCTGAATCTCGCGGGCGGGATCGTGAATGAGCACTGCTGTGAAGTCAACCGAATAAGCAGATATCTAAACAACTGAAATTATAATGAACTAAAACAGTATTTGAGGGAAAAGTATTGGATCTATATCTAATCACCATTATTTGTTTATATAAAACTGAAGAAATCTACCCAAAATAATTAACTAAACTTTTAGGAAACAGTTTTATTCGAGAAATTTATACAAAATTTATTGTATTTTATAACTGAAAAATTGGAATTGCAATTCATTCACAATGGAATTCATTATTATTTCTGTTATGCCTTTTTTTCTTCTTATAAACATCAATACCAGTTACATATTTCCCGTCAAAAATCTTCCCATACAAATACAAATGAGAAAGGAAACAAATTTCTTTAAATTTTTTTTATTTATTCCTTTATTTAAGGATAAAACTTGATATTGTTTCTCTTTAGACAAACACTAGAAGTTTGTATGTGAATTTTTGATAAAACGTAGAATATCTAGAGGGATGTACTTGTACCCCAATACTGATATTTGTATTAAGAACTGAATCCAGTATCTTTCACTCCAAACGCTTTATTATATTATCCATTGAGTATCTCTGACCAAATATAAATGACTTATACATCAAAGATAAATTTCATTAGTTATTTTAATTTTATTTTCTGTTGTTAATGGTGGAGAAGGTAGATGATTTTGATGGAATTTTTTCTCTGAACTGGACAAGACGTGAATCATGTGTTGAGAAATTCGAGCAATTCATTTCTACCTGGAGTTTGTGTTGATGATGTTATTCGCAAGAACGATGAAAAGTCCACGACCAAACTATCCAACTCAAAGAACAAAAATTCAATAAAATCTTTTATTAATGTTATAGGATGCATTTGATTAATCTGTTTTCATATATATGAGTCGTGAGAAATGCAGAATAAGACTAGAAAGAAATTACTTATTACTGTATATCCTTAAAATTTATTACAGTTAAACAATAGTTCACTTAATCTCAGTTTATATTAATTTATAGAATCCTCGAATTATATTCATTTATTTCAAAAACAGTGAATTACTTTGGTCGAATAATTGTCCTAGATATTTCATAATTCTGTTTACAGAGACAGTTATTTCCGTTTTAATCATATTTATAAGTGACATTCCTGTGTTAAATTTTATGAGAAAAAGCTTAATAGATTTACGTATTCATGCATGTTCTTTCATCTTAGTACCTTCATTCGCAAATTTCGTTTTATCTTCAATAGAAAGGAAGTGTTTTTCTAGGCGTCTTTAAAAATTTATGGAGAACAGACAGAATGATTAATAAGTAGATTTAATTTTATTTAACCGTTTATATGCTACTGTAGAAGCTTAACATAGTTAATATTTAAGTCCGTTTTGGATGAAAACGTATACTGAAAACAATAAAATACACTGCAATCAGCATAAGGAATGTCGTGTCTAAATTTTATTTACATTGTTTTTAGCATTCAAAGAACAGTGCAACAGAATGTGTGATATTATTGTCAATCAACAACAAATGTTACTGCATTATCAGTACATAAGCAAATCAAAATGATCATTCACACATATCACTAAGTAAACATAATTCACATACGTTTTAGACAGTATGTCTGATGGGCACTAAAAAATGTAACGGGTCGATCTCACTTTATTTTTTCTAGGATTCGGACAAAAACCCAAATACTTTGTTTCAATAAAAATGAATATTGTTTAATGGTACAATCGAGAACTCGTGAATCATCCCATTTGGGACTCGACAGTTAACTGCATTCCAGTGTTGATGTTAATATCAACCTGAAAGTATGTATAACATAAACAGTTATTTATTGGCTAATGAGCAAATTAATGTTTGGGCATCAAAATAAACGGTATTTTACGTTTAGTGACAATTCAGAAAACCTAAATACTAATTTAGTGATGGTGGAAATTTGTAGCTCAGGTGGATACAAATACTAATACTATAGCTAATGCTAATTTGGTAAACATCATGAACTTTAGTTACATACGCCTCTTACCCCTCGAGGAGGGGCATAGGCCGTTCTCCAGCATTCTCAATTGAATTTGCTGTTCATTCTTTTGATATCTGCCTCTAACTCTCGACACAATATGTTCCTTGACATTCCTCTTTCCCTTTGCTCTTCAGGATTGCTCCATGAGACATTTTGATAGTTATTGCAGTATATGTCCTATCCATTTACAAAGTCTTTCCCTAATTTCTTCTTTAGCCGGAAGTTGACTTGTTTTGTACCCTAGTAGGTTGTTGGTAATGCTGTCTGGCTAACAAATATTGAGTATCTTGCGTAAACAATTTTTTTAAAAATATCAGTACTTTTTTATGATGGCTGTTGTAGTTCTCCAAGTTTCAGCTTCGTTTAATAGAACTGTCTTGGCATTCGTATTGAAGAAGCTTTCTAAAGGCTTGAATTGAATCAAAAGCTTTTCATCAGTATATCCGTTAGATTTGTTTACAAATATGCTTAACTTTGGCTGTTTCTAAATCTTAAGGGCGTATTATACAAAAAGTGGAAATAAACATTCATGTCGATAATTTATAAAAGATAAACGTCTAGAATCAGTTATTTTCAAATTTGTTAGAAGCATTCATCAAAATATGGGTATAAATGCCAAGTTTGGACTTGACAGTTTCAGACAAATTGTGTTTCTGACGTTTCGTGACTTAATGTAAGCCACTCCTTCAGAGTAAATAAATAACATTGCCATTTAAAATTGTTTTAATTTATTCCAGTTATCTATTTACTCAGAAGAAATAGTTCACATTAAGTCACGAAACGTCAGAAATACAATTTTTCTACTTATTGAGGTATAAAATATATATTTATTACTCAGCAATATAGTTTATTTTCTGAGTTTGTATTATAGCTGATCTAGACCGAATTCATAGGTTCAAGGATTTGAGGAGATATTGCCAATCAGGGAATTCGCTACTGAGTTTACTTTGAGGGAAAACTAATCAAGATAGTTTCGTAAAAGTATTTTTTAGCAGAAGACCATAAAAAGGAGTTATCAGTATCTAACTTGTATTGTTGTCTGACCTCCATTTAATACATAGTGACCAGCTGCTAAAGTTGTGTATTTATTTATTTGTCTTAATCGAACGAATGCTTATCAGATAGTGTAAGCAAAACATAAAATATATCATGTATCAAAATTTTATTGCATTTACTTAACTGAAAACTTAGTTTTTACCAGAATTATTTGATTAATTACTAAGTAAATGATGGTACGTCTAAGATTATTCCGTAAATAGACAGATAGCAAGTCTACTTTTTGAAGTATAATACACCGAAAACTGTACCCATTAGCAACTCAGATAACTCTATTTCTTAAGTTTTTTTTGTCCCAAAAGACAAGTGCTAAAATGTCATCATAATGGGAGAAATATTTACATGATACAGTAGAATAGCCTCACCCAAAAATGTCATCCTATATAATACAGATTTAGAGATAGTAAATGCAAAGGTTTTTGAGGGAAACTCATTTCTGTCTTTAAACATTACAAAATACGAAGTATTTACACTGTCTCAGTTTCTATTAAATATAATGTGAGCTTATTATTAAATCTACAACAAATCAGTCCCAAATATCAATTAAGAAAATAGGTCACATATACGTCGTAGTTTCACTTTAGGTGGTTTTCGATATTTCACTCAATTAAAAAGTAGTTGCCATTGTAATCGAGCATTTTAGTATAATACCACTGATAACACAAATGTAGTATGTTTGATTTAAACGCTTCACTGTTGCGGATCAATAACCGTATCGTGAATTGAATACGTGACATTATTGTCACAATAATAATCATGAAAATACTCGACTATGGAGACAATTAAATGCCAATATTTTTCCTATTATTTTTTACTCTGGTGTATATAGTGATCTTTATCAGGTGATTTTTGTGAAGCTAGTACAGCTAAGACAAAATAGTCAGTCAATTTCTATTGATGAGCAGACTCCATTCATCGAGATTTAGGTTGTAAATGACTTCCGAATTATGTGCCTATAGGAAGGATTTTGAGTTCTGATTAGAAGAAATGCAGTATATTGATATAACTCAGTCCCATTTCTAAGAAATGACAGATACATGACATATTATTCAAAGAGAACATTTAAAATACAAAGTTTGTTATCATTTAACGATGAACTACTTATTTCTAAACCAAATTAAATGAACTACATAATGACTACTTAGTTTCATATAATAATTCTAATCTTACTGAGATCATAAAGTAACCAAATTAAACAACCGTTTAAAACCATGAAGCAACCGGAAGCTTTTTTTGTCCTCTGATGCGATCGATCTTATAGCAAGATTTCAAGGTGGTAGGATTGATTCCAAGTGGGGTCATCAATGTTCGTTACTGAAAAACCTAAGAGCTAAATAAAATATATGCCCAACCCCTTTAGCTGTTAAATGGTTGTCTGAAGTGATTCAGTTAGTGATCTCAATAGACCTCCATACTGATATTGTAATGAGCGTTAGCACAGACGAGGACGATCAGACCTAATTGAGTACAAAATCACGCAGTAAAATCTGAGAAACATACAATAAATGTTTCATTTGCGAAATGTCAATCAGTTGTTTCAAACTTGATTGTTCCTTCATTTCCACACCAATCATCCTCTGTTCCCGTTCTCTTCTCTCCAACCTTCTTAACCTTCTGCTGCCCGAGTTTCACTTTCGACTG